AACCTAGGCACATCATACATAGCAAACCTTTTGGATAACCAAACAAGGACAAAATCTTAGAAAAGCCAGAGGGAGGAAATGACATTTTATAGCAACATCAAAAATACTAAACACCTAGGAATAAATATAATGATATACATGAAAGAATTATATACTGAAAACTATAAAATCTTCTTGAGGGGTGCCTGGGTGGCTCAGTTGTTAAGCATCTGCCTTCGGCTCAGGTCATAATCCCAGGGTCCTGGGATCGAGCCCCGCATCAGGCTCCCTGCTCTGCGGGAAGCCTGCTTCTCCCTCTCCCACTCCCCCTATTTGTGTTCCTCCTCTCGCTGTATATCTCTCTGTCAAATAAATAAATAAAATCTTAAAAAAAAACCTTATTGAAAAGAAATTAAGGGAAAGAATAAATAGATGAAAATAAATGAAGGACAATTAAATAAGGAAAAATATTCACATTAATTGATTAAAATACTTTATACTGTAAAGATATCAATTCTCCCCAAACTGATCTACAGATGCAAAACAATCCCATTCACAATTGCAGCAACTTTTTTGGTGAAAAACGATAAATGATTTCTACAACTTATAGGCAATGCAAAGGGTCAACAAGAGCTGAGGCAATTTTGAAAAAAATAATAAAGTTGTAAGACTTATGCTATCTCAGACCAAAATATCTATTATAGTTATAATAATTAAGAAGTATGGTGCTGACACAAAGATTGACAATCAGAAAAATAAAACAAAGAATCTATACCTATACTGTCCCATATGGTAGCCACCAGACACGTGGCTAAATCTAAATTAATTAAAATTAGTTAACATATGAAATTCAGTCCTTAGTTACACTTGCCATATTTCAATAACTCAGCAGTCACATGCAGCTACTGAATTAAACAGCATATATATGAACATTTCCATAATGGCAGAAAGTTCCATTAGACAGCACTTATCTAGAAAGACACACATAAAATTATATGATTTATGGCAAAGGTCTAATATAGTAGGGAAAAGTTAGTCTTTCCAATAAATTGTGATGGATCAATCAGACACCAATAGACAAAAGTAAATAATACAATAATAAATATATAATCAACTCTGATCCCCACCTTATACCACATACAAAACTCAATTCTAAGTGGAATGTAGACTTGAATGTAAGAAATAAAACAGGGATGCCTGGATGGCTCAGTCAGTTAAACGTCTGCCTTCGGCTCAGGTCATGATCCCAGGGTCCTGGGATCGAGTCCCATGTTGGTATCCTTGCTCAGCTGGGAGCCTGCCTCTCCCTCTGCCTGCCGCTCCCCCTGCTTATGCCTCCTCTCTCTCTCTCACTCTCTGACAAATAAATAAACAAAATCTTAAAAAAATTAAAATTAAAAAATTAAAAATAAAACAATAAAGTTTTAATTTTTTAATTTTTTAATTTTTTAAAAGATTTTATTTATTTATTTGACAGAGAGAGACACAGCAAGAGAGGGAACACAAGCAGGGGGTGTGGGAGAGGGAGAAGCAGGCTTCCCGTGGAGTAGGGAGCCAGATGAGGGGCTTGATCCCAGGATCTGGAATCATGACCTGAGCCAAAGGCAGACACTTAACGACTGAGCCGCCCAAGCGCCCCAAAACAATAAAGTTTTTCGAAGACATAGAAAATAAACTTCACAACCTTGTAGTAGACAAAGTTTTGTAAAATAAGATGCAAAAAGTGCCAGCCATAAAATACAATACCAATAATGAGTATTTAAGATACATTAAAACTGGGGCGCCTGGGTGGCTCAGTTGGTTAAGCGACTGCCTTCGGCTCAGGTCATGATCCTGGAGTCCCTGGATCGAGTCCCACATCAGGCTCCCTGCTCAGCAATGAGCCTGCTTCTCCCTCTGACCCTCCCCCCTCTCATGTACTCTCTCTCTTTCGTTCTCTCTGTCTCAAATAAATAAAATCTTTAAAAAAAAAAAATTAAAAAAAAAGATACATTAAAACTGAGAACTTTGCTTATCAAAAGAGATCAGTGAGAGAGAGAAAAGGAAAACTGTAGCCTGATAAATTTTATTTGCAACATATATATCTGACAAAAAATTTGTATCCAGAATATAAATATGACAAAACACTCCTAGAAAACAATTAGGCAAACAACCTGGTAGAAAAATGGATAACATATGAACAGACACTTAATAATAAAGGACGACAGAATGGCTAATAAGCATACGAAAAGGTGTTAAATTTCATTTGTTATCAGAAAAGTGCAAATGAAAACCTAAATGGGTATCATTATATACTTGCCAGAATACCTAAAATGAAATTAAAGTCAGGCAATAAGAAGTGTTGGTGAAGATGTGATACAGCTGGCTCTTACACATTATTGATACAAGAATTGGTACACTTTGAAAACTGTCTGAGTTATTGGTTGAATTATGTCCCCACAAAACTTATATGTTAAAGTTCTAACACCCAGTGCCTCAGAATGTGACCTTATTTGGAAACAGAATCAGTGCAGATATTATTAGTTAAAATTAGATTATTAAGGTGGGCCTTAATCCAATAATGACTGGTGTCCTTAAAGAAAGGGAATAGACATGAATAGAGAGAAGATGATGTGAAAAGACATTGGAAGAAGACAGTGTTCTACAAATCATGGAAAGAGACCTGGAACAGATCCTTCCCTCACAACCCTAAGTGGGAATCAACTCTTTTTTACACCTTGAATTTGGACTCCTAGACTCCAGAAATGTGAGACAATAAATTTCTGTTGTTTAAGTCACCCAGTTGTGGTATTTCATTATGACAGCCCTGGCAAACTAATATAGGAAGTTATTTACTTGCAATATATACAGATCTTATGATACAACAATTATACTTCTTGGTATACACATGACAGAAATATATGTGTATGTATGTATTTACCAAAAGATTTGTATAAGAATGTTCATAACATTATTATTTGTAAAAGCCCCAAACTAGTAATAATTCAAATATTCACCAATAGTGAATGAATAAAAAAAATTATGGTATATTTACACAGTGGAATTTTATATGAGAATGAACCAACTACAACCACATGCAATAACAAGAAAGAATATCACAATGATGTTGAGCAAAAGAACTCAGACACAAAAGATACATATGGATGATTACAATGATACAGTCAAATATATAAAAGTAATCTGTAGATTGAGAAGTTAGGGTAAGTAGTTACCTTTGGAGAGGAAGGAGGCAGTAGTGATTGGGAAGGGGCAAGAGAAAGGTTTCTGGGATGCGGGTAATGTACTATTTCTTGATCTTGGTGATGGTGATACTGTAAAAATTTTTCAAGTTGTACACTTATAATCTGCATACTTTTTTCCATATATTTTATACATCATTTCAAAAACTTCTTTAAACACTGAATAGGTAAGTTAAATGGATTAGAATAACTAAATCGTGATCTTTTATTTTTAAAAAGAGATCTTTAAAAGTAGCCATATTGTAGCAGAGATAGACACAGAAAATATAAGACACGTTAATGGAAGCATAAAATAGAGTGAAAAGGTTAAGTTTAAGTCTAATTGACGTTGCAGAAGAAGAAAATAAACAGAATGAGTACGAATCAATATTTAAAGAGATAGGGGTGCCTGGGTGGCTCAGTTCGTTGAGCGTCTGCCTTCCACCTCAGGTCATGATCGTGGGGTCCTGGGATGGAACCCTGCGTTGGGCTCCCTGCTCAGCAGGGAGTCTGCTTGTCCCTGTGCCTCTGTCCCCTACCACCGCTCATGCTCTTGCTCTCAAATAAATAAAATCTTTAAAAATAATTTTTAAAAATAGATAATAGCGGAGAATTTTCCAGAATCAACATGACAAATTCCAGATTAAAAAATGCACAATAATCTCAAGGAGAATAAACAAAAAGAAAACTACACTGAATAAATTATTGTGATACTGCAGAACTCCAAAGACCAAGAGAAAATCTTAAAATCAGATAAAGAAAAAGATTGGATCCAATCAGAAAACACAGATGACCTACAAAGAATGAAAATCAGACTGATCACTTCTTTTTTTAAATTTTCAAACTGACAGAAAATCCAAAGAGAATACTATAGCGAGCACCCTTAACCACTCACCAGCTTCAGTGTTAACATTGTGACTGACTGACTCAAAGTTTATCTAAACATATATATGTCCTTTCCTTTTGGGAAAATATAGAAAGTAGGCTGCTATCACAATTCTTCATCCCAAATTCTTTATCATGCACTTTCCAAGAACAAGAACATTCAACTACAACATCATTACCTCACCCATGATAACTGACATTAATTCAATAACACCACTCTAAGAGAGCACAGATGAAATTTTCCTAGTTATCCTAATATGTCCTCTAAAGCTTTTTTTTACTTATCCAGGATCTAATCAAGATTTATGTATTACTTTCAGATGTTTTAATTTTTCGGTCTCTCAATTTAGGACATTCTCATCACTTCCCTTGGTTTTTCATGACACTGTATCATTTGAAGAGTTCAGGTCAATTGTCCTAAAAAAAGAACTCACATTCTGAGCTGGTTTGACTGTTTCCCCATTATCAACAGGACAAGTATTTCCAGAAAGAAATGTTGTATAACTCCTGTGCAGCACATTATGCCTATAGCTGCCCCACTATTGGTTATACTAAATATACATTTTGTAATTTTCTCTTTGTAATCAGTAAGTCAACTGCAAAGTAAGTTTTTGAGACTCAAGAGCATACTTTTTAATGGCAACCATGAAAGACATAAGTCAATAGGATACAACCTTCCACGTACTAGGAAAAAAATGGCTATTAATGTAGAGCTGTATTGTCAACTAAAATATAATTCAAGAAGGCAAAATGAGGTATATCCTAAAATTATTTCAAGATACAGTAAAAAAAATTAATAGGAAGACTATGTACACACACAAAAAACTGGTTTGCACAAACTTTTGTTGTTTTCTTTTTTATATATATACACACTCCAAAATTAAGTATTTTTAGCATGTCTTGAAAAAAGTACTTTACCTGCCATCTCTTCTGAGGGCAAACGCAATGCCATCTTTCTGGAAAGGAAGCAGCTTTGCTCTTAGTTTGTCAGGCAAAAAATCCAACTGTTTATAAGAATCTTCATTTGTCAAACAAGAAATCTGAGGTGTAAGAGACTTTTTTATCTTATGAACTTTAGGCATCCTGATCCTAAAAAAAAAGAAATCACAAAAGAGGAGGGGTAGGGAAATAGTTATTACTGAGTGTATTAGAGAATTAAACATAAATAATAATAAAGTACTCACCATTAGCTTTGATATACTATCTACATAGATATAAATTGGTTACATCACAATCCAAAATGAGCTATTAAGAAAATTCAAAGCACTAAGTCCAAAAGCAATTACTTAGTGCACAATTCGGGAACTCAGCACCCTTTATTTCATTTATATTTCAAATTGAACCGTGACATAACCATTATCCTGTTTTAAGCAATAAATGTTTCACTGAAAGTTTATAAATCAGCCAGATTTTTAAGACTAAATAATTTTTTAAATAAGGAATGATTTGCTACAGAAAGAGGAATTCTTTTCTAATTAATCCTTTTGTAGATGTACATTTTCATATCACACCAAATTTTCTAAGAATGGGGTAAAACTGCATTTCAAAAATTACAAAATACAAAGATATTAACTCCAAATTTATAATTAAATCAATATTAAATGAGATTCATTTTTAAATATTAAAATGAATTCTTTTAAATCAAATGAATACACAGTATAAACTCCGCCTGACTGGCACCTCCCTCACCCCTGGGTTTCCACAGATGTCAATTTAATTTTCTATATGAAAATTTCATATATTTGTAAATTCTCAGAGCTCTGCAAGAAAAAGTCCTATTAAATCACTAAACTATAAAACTTCTTTAATAATACTTTGTATTTAGATTGCACCTTTTCATCTGTTTATGTGTAATCTCACTTCATCTTTAAAACAAATTCGCTTTTTTCTCAATTGCTTGCAGACTTATAAAATTTTACCCCACCCAAAAAAAAATAATCAACCTCTGTATCCAATGTCTAAGAATCTCAAGAATTCAGTGCGTATTTGTTAATAAATAGATATTACATGCCAGGATCTAGAGAAGCAAGGACCATACCCTCACAGAGCTTACATTCCTTTTTTTTTTTTTTAAGATTTTATTTATTTATTTGAGAGAGAATGAGAGAGATCACATGAGAGTAGGGAGAGTCAGAGGGAGAAGTAGACTCCCCACCGAGCAGGGAGCCCGATGTGGGACTCGATCCAGGGACTCCAGGATCATGACCTGAGCCGAAGGCAGTCGCTTAACCAACTGAGCCACCCAGGCGCCCAAAAGAGCTTATATTCTTAAGGGGGAGACTAAAAATAAATAAATAAATGATTAATTACAGTATAGTGTAAATATTATGAAGGAACTTAAGATCGTAATGACCAATTTAGGTAGGCTGACCAGGTAAGGACTCTCCTAGATGATGCTTACTCCACAGACTGAAGGGTGTGAAAGAGTCAACCAAGTTCAAAACTGAGAGAAGAGCCCTCCAGGCAGACAGCATCAGCGGAAAGGCTCCAAGCTGAAAAAGGGTTGAGTGATCTTTAGAAACAGAAAGGAGGCCAATGTGGCTGAACCAAGGGAGAGAATAGTATGAGATGAAGCTACTGAGATAAGCAAGAGTAAAATCATAGAAGGCCCTGATAAGGGCTTTGGATTCTATTTTAAGAATGAAGGGGAGCCAATCCAGCTCTGCCATCCAAAACACTATTAACCAGAAGTGGCTATTTAAGTTAAAAATTAAAACTCCAGGCATGGTGTGAAGAAGACACAAGAATGACCTCCGGACAGCCAAAGCCCATGCCACTATATCTCCGCATCCAGTACCACCATCACCACCATGCCCAAGAGAAAGGCTGAAGTGGATGCTAAAGGAGATAAAGCTAAGGTGAAGAATGAGCCATAGAGAAGATCTGCAAAGTTATCTGCTAAACCTGCTCCTCTAAAGCCAGAGCCCAAGCCTAGAAAGGCCCCTGCAAAGAAGGGAGAGAAGGTACCAATGGGCAAAGATTGGGGATAACCCTGCAGAAAACAGAGATGCCAGAACAGACCAGGCACAGAAGGCTGAAGGTGCTGGAGATGCCAAGTGAAGTGTGTGCATTTTTGATAGCTGTGTATTTCTTGTGACTGTACAGTTTGAAATACTATTTTTTATCAAGTTTTATAAAAATGCAGAATTTTGTTTTACTTTTTTCTTTTAAGCTATGTTGTTAGCACACAGAACATTTCATTGTTGTTTGGGGGGGAAGGGCATATATCACTAACAGAATATCTCTGAAGCTAGACTGATACAAATGGAAAAACACCATTCCCTTGTAGGGTTTTTTTTGTTTTTGTTTTTTTTTAAAGATTTTATTTATTTATTTGAGACAGAGAGAATGAGAGACAGAGAGCATGAGAGGGAAGAGGGTCAGAGGGAGAAGCAGACTCCCCGCCGAGCAGGGAGCCCGATGCGGGACTCGATCCCGGGACTCCAGGATCATGACCTGAGCCGAAGGCAGTCGCTTAACCAACTGAGCCACCCAGGCGCCCCTCCCTTGTAGTTTTGAGAATCTTCCTTTTGGTTCCCAGGAGGAGGGATTCCTTGATGTTGAAACACATTAGCCACCTTGGCACAAATGCCTTGTGGTATGGAAAAACTAAAATTCTTTTTTTTGGTCTTCTCCCTGTCTGCCTTCAACATAGACTTAACTCCCTTAAACCCAGAGATCTGTTGGAACTTGACCCCAAGACATGGTTCCCAGTATATGTCAGGCAATCTGGACTTTACAGTGTCACCATGGAGATGGCATCCCTCAAAAGACCTCCTTTTTTAGCTTGTGGATCTTCAGATTGCTAATTATGCTATCTTCATTTCATTTCCTGAAAGTCAGTGTCTGCTTGTGAAAAGGTTGTTGAACAACATGCTAAATGTGAAATGTCAACCCTCACTCTAAACTTACCCTGTTCAGGGGATCAGATGAAGACTCCATTGGGTTTTATAGTGGCTTTCTGATTTTGGTAATCCATGGAAGTATAACAGTTATGGAATATTGTTAATGACTATCTTCCCATGTGCTGCCTGAAATACCATGATTGTTTATGAAAAGTATCTTTAATAAAGCTGGATACAGTTTGGCTTGGAAAAAAATAATAAAAATTAAAAAAATTAAAACTTCAGTTCCTCAGTTGCATCGGCCATGTTTCAAGTGCTCAGTGGCCACTTGTGACTAGTGGCTATCATACTGAACAGTGAAGATATATACCATTTCAATCTTCACTGAAAGCTGTATTAGACAGCACTTACTGGAGAGTTTTAAGCAGGAGCGGGACACACTCTTATATTTTAAAAACTACCAGTAGAGGACAAAGCTATTAATAGAAAGATAGGGGATAAATGTCCCTAGAGGACTTGGCCAGTCCATAAAGGCCCCACTACATCTGAAGGCCACTGGATTTGGATATGACTTATGACAGACTCAAACCTGTCTGATAAGGTCCTCCTAAACACCAGTGAGTAGGCATCCCTTCCCAACAACACCACCAAAACACTGAGTAAATAACTGAGAATGGTTCAAAAAGCATAAAGCATTAAAGCAAGAAATTTATTACCAGGCTGAAACAGACAAGGCAAGAATCATCTTTGGCAGTAGAACTGGAGAGATTCAGGAAATGAATCAGAAGTAAAGCAAACAGAACTTGCTGATGGAGGACATGTGGAGAATGAGGGACATGTGAACTCAAGATGTACATTTAGAGTGATGGAATTGATGCAAATTTATTGAGATAGTAAAGACTAAGGAAGAAACGGATTGGGGAGAAAAAAAATCAATACATCTTTTAGAAATATATAAACTTTGAGATGGTTGTAAATTATGAAGTGGAAATGTCTAACAGATTTGGAAATACATGAGTCTGGAACCCTAGGGAGAGAACAAGGCTGGATATATGTATTTGGGAGTTGACATAGGATAGTCTATCTACATTATTCTTTGAGGCCACCCAACATCTGGGACCCCTGCTATGTCTAGCATTTTCCTCATATTACAAATCTGAGTAGGAGTCAGATACCATGTCCCAATAGAAAAGCTGGAAATAGCAAATTCTTCCTTTCTCAGCCTGCCTTACAGAAATTGGATTTGCTAATTAGATATACCCATTCCAGACTTTAATCCAGAAAGTCAAAACTCAAAGAAGCAGTGAATAAGTGAAACCCATTCTGGCAAGGGTAGCAGCAGTAGAAAGTGCCATGTCTGCTTTCCAGAACTAATAGGGTTTCAGAAGCAATTTTGAGGGTTAGCGTTTTAAGGAGTACCTCATACCATTAGTTTAGGGTGGAACACTAGCAAGAAGCTCAGAAAAAAAAATACAAAAACCATTTTACTGTCTATTATCTTTGCTTTCTTTACATTGTAAAAATTTTTAACAAACACCAAGAAAAAAATACCTGCTAAAATGAGGTCATACTGCAACTTATCTGATTTATTTTAGTAAGACTGAATCAAGCACTACATTTGTAAAAATAAACAATGAAACTAAAGCCATTTTAATAAAAAAATTGTTTTAAGAGAGTCACAAATAAGAGAAAAAATATAGATGAAGATTAAAAAAGTCTACAACAGTACAAAAATGTTTAGAAAACTTTCAACTGAACTAAAATTGTGGGATGTCCCTGCTTCACTGATGATTCAAATAGGTATTTGGATACATAAAGAACTTAAAAATAAGTAGTGGTATGATTAATTAATAACACAGGGATATTTCAGTTAATATTCAAAATAAAATAATTTTAAAATACCCTTTCCCACTTATACTATAGAAAGTCTAAAAATTATATTATAATAAAAAATACCTCATTTGGGTCAGTCATATAGGTTCATCTGCTGCAAAAGGTCAGGTGTAACCAATATTGTGTTAATAAAGGAAGACTTGGGCTTCATCTTCTAACTTATCAAGAAACTAATACTAAGTGTGTATGTCTAATCATGAAAAGTACAGAGAATTTAGTTCAGAAATTTAGGAAAAAGTTTTATTCATTGTATACATACAACTTTATTTTTTAGTAAGATTGAGGGAGCTGGTAAGATGGAACCAAGAATATTTACCTTTTAATACCATGTTATTAAAATTATCAAAATTA